AACTGGTGTGTCCCACCAGACTGTGCCAGCTGGCCCCGTCCTGGTCAGAGCGGCACCCGGCATCTCAGCATGGTTGGAAAAGGGGGGGCTGAAGAGGAGGGGTTTGGTGGGGAAAAGCAGCCGAAGGTCTTCTGGGCACGCGCAGCTGCCAGCTCGGTACCCGTGATGCTGGCAGCAGCACTGGGCGGCAGGACCACGGGTGACCTGTCCCAGCCCGGCAAACCACATCGCCATAAACTCCGCTGCCGGGGCTGGGAAGCCGATAACAGCGGGGGTGAAGTCCAACGCAGGGCAGGTCCCAGGGAGCAGATTCCAGCCTGGGGCTCACGGCGTGGCCTCCCTGCCAGCCCCATGCCTCTCCCAGCTCCATTTTACCCTCGCCACAGCCCGGAGACTGAGATGATGGTGCTTGCCTTCCTCCTGCTGCTGGGTGAGCGCTGCTGACACAGGGGTCGTGCTGCAGGGAGGGAAGGGGCTGCAGTGCTGGCTGCTCCGCTCTGTCCCACCCCAGCATGGGGTCCCATGGGGATTGCAGCTTCCCCAGCTCTGGGTGGGGGGGCTGGGGCAGATGTGTCCCAGCAAAACCCTCCTTTGGGCTCTGCTGGCGAAGGTCAGCCTGGGATTCCCCAGGGAAGTGAGCACTGGAGCTGCCAGCACCGGGCTGGGTATTGCCGATGGCTTTGCTCAGTGTAGGGAGGAAATGCTCAAATTCTGTTTTCCCCAAAACGGGGGCAGAGACTCGGAGCAGGGGTGTGATATACCGGGCTGGAGGGTCAGTGCTCCAGCCCTGGTGGGCTCTGGCACCCTGAGGGTGCATGGGAGGGGGCTGGGGTGGGAGAAGGCAAAGCGAGAGATGTGGGGAGCTTGAGGTCCCACCCAAGGGATGACGCTAAGGGAGCTCAGCGCTCCCCCCAGCAGGGTCCCAAACCGGGGAGCCCAGACAAACATCACCCACAGGTCATATGTGCCCTCTGTCACTGACTGTGGGCACTGTGCCTGGATTCTCGCGGGTTTTCAGCCCTGTTGTCTCTCCCGTAGCCGGGACCATCCTCCCCAGTGGGTCCACGGTCATTAACAGCTGCGGCAGCGCGGCCAAGCTGCTCTGCAACTTCGTCTGCGACTGCAGCGACTGCTCTGACGAGAACCAGTGTGGTGGGTACCCAGCCCCCACCATCCCCCAGCCCCACTCCCAGGCCCTGCTCCTGGGGCAAGAGCAGGCAATGGAGCGGGGGGCACTGTGGGTGCAGGCCCCTGGGAGGAGGTGCTGGTGCCAAGGGTGGGTGCAGATCCCCAGGGTGGGTGCAGGCCCTCCAGCTGGGCGCAGGTCCCTGGAGTGGGCTCAGGTCCCCAGGGTGGGCCGAGCCCTGCCATCACAGCCCGTCTGCCTGCCCTCAGGGTACCTGTGGGGCTCGGCCACGCTGGGCACCCCCTTCACCTGCGATTTTGAGGAAGGTGACTGCGGCTGGCAGGACGTGAGCACCTCGGCTTACAGATGGGTGCGGGGCCGGGCCAGCCTGGCCATGTGGGGCACGGGGCCCCACTCAGACCACACCGTGGGCACTGACCTGGGTAAGCAGGGGCTGTTTGGCTGCTGAGCAGGCTCCAGGCTCCCACAGCACCACACCTCTGGGTCATGGGTGCCCTGAAGGCAGGGTGCTGGGACACCCATCCCTGTAAGGCACAGGGGACGGAGCAGACCCATGGTGGAGAAGGAGCAGTGCTGGCTGCAGCTCCGGTGCCATCCCATGGGATGCAACCCCCAGTCTGCTCTCTGCCCTCCCCAGGGTGGTTCATGGTGACCGTGTCCCCGCCAGCAAAGACCACAGCCACAGCCACAGCCTGGCTCAGGTCACCGGTGATGCAGGAAGCAGCTGCCACGTGCGAGATCAGGGCCTGGTACCACCTCTCGGGAAGCGGTGAGGGCACCCACGGTGGGCACAGATGGGCCTTGGGATACTGGGCACAGGCAAGCGACGATGGGGGACAGTGGGGAGGGATGGGACTGTGTGCCCCCATGGCAGGGGCAGAGCCACTGGTACCTTGAGATGGGATGCAGGTGTCTGATCTCTGGTCCCCAGAGATGATGGGGCTCAGTTCATCCCCAGGGGTACCCTGAGATGCCCAGTGCCAAGGGCCATGTTTTTGGGGCTCCCCACAGGGCTCAACCAGACAGAACAGCCGGTGCTGCGCCTGGCCATGGCATACAGGGACGAGGTGGTGGGGCTGTGGCAGAGCCCCGAGCGCGGCGGCGAGGGCTGGCATCAGCTGGTCGCCTACACGGGCCGCGTCCCGGAGCAGTTCCAGGTGAGACAGGGCCGTGTCGGCACCCGAGCACCGTCCCCATGAACTGGGGCTGGAGGAGCCGGGTGAAGCACCAGGAGCCGAGGGTGCCTGGGCGGCTCATGCCGTCCCCATCCTCTCGTCGGCAGCTCTTCTTCTCCCTGACACAACCACCTGCGCGTGGGGCAGAGCTGGCGCTCGATGACATTGTCTTTAGGAACTGCGGCTTGGAGGGTGAGTCCCACATCCGCTGGGACGAGGCACGAGCTGAGTTCCCCAGGGAAATTGGTTTGGGCTTTGCACCTGGGGGGAGCTCTCCCACTGCCCGCTGTGTCCTGGGGACACCTTGCCCTGGCCAGGACATGGGATGGGTAGCAAGAGACTTCAGCAACCCAGGGAAAGATGTGGGGGGAGCCCAGCATGTGCCAGGGGCCCTGTGGGGCCAGCCACATGCTGACAGTGTGTCTCACTGCCCCCAGAGCCCTGGCAACAGGTCTGTGGGGCAGAGGAGAACCTCTGTGGCCAGGGCTCCTGCCTGGCACAGCACCGCTTCTGCGACGGCACCGACGACTGTGGGGATGGCTCGGATGAGGATCCAACGCGGTGCAGTGAGCATCCCTGGCCCCAAAGAGGGGATCCTGCCCACTGGCCCCCGACTGCATGGATGGGCTGAGGGCCTGCCCTGGCAGGGCTGTGGGGCTGGCAGGGTTCACCCCAGCTGTGCCCCATGGCTGTGTAGCCAGGGGGGTAAAATCACCTCAAGGGTTTTGTGGAGGGGTCAGCCCATCACCGGGACCTCCCTGGGTCACTCCGCTCTCCCTCCCTCCCTGCAGAGTCCTTCACCCTCTGCTCCTTCGAGCAAGGTCTCTGCAACTGGAAGGCAGAGATTGGGCAACCAGCGTGGGGGAGGAACATGAGCCTGAACCTGGGGACCATGTACAGCATCCCCACTCGGGACCACAGCAATAACAGCAGGGCAGGTATGTGGTGGGCACCAGCACCCCAGGGGAGCCCCCCCATGGGCCGTGGGGTAACATGTGCCTGGGCTCAGCTGGCTAAAACAGCGTCTTGCCCCCGCGTGCCCCTTCCGTCTCCCACAGGTTTTTTCCTCCACGTGGGCAATGCCTCGGCCACAGGGGCCGGAAGCCCAGCCCGGCTCAGCAGTCCCACTTTCCAGGCCACCAACTCCTGCTCCGTGAGTCATGGCTGGGATCTTGCATCACAGCCCCTGTGGGCATGGTGGTGGGTGGGCGATAGGGTCCCCAGCCATGGGGACCCCCACATGGGGCTGGGCCTGCGATTGGCCCTTTGCTGGGGACAGGCAGTGGGTTTTTGGGCGTGGTTTGGTGGCATCTCCAGTGCCTGAGCTCCTCCAGCCCCACCTTTGTGAGTATCCCCTGGGGCAGCAGCCATGCCATAGGGTGCGGGGGGCTGCATGCCCCTGTCCTGAGGCTTCAGTGCTCACTCACCCCCCTCCCTGTCCCCAGCTTGTGCTGTATTGCCACCTCCACGGCTCTACCACCAGCAGCCTCAGCATCTCCTATGTGGCCAACTACACCAAGCACCTGGTGAGGGAGAGGACAGGGGACCTGGGCAGCTGCTGGGTCCGGGAGAGAGTGGACTTCAAAGTGACGGAGAGCTTCAAGGTCAGCTGGCGCCATGCTGGGGCAAGCTGGGCTGCCTGTGGGGCGAGGGGCATGGGGCCACCCCCAATACGCACCCATGGGACCAAGGACAGGGGTTGAACTGGGAACTGGAGACCCAAGCTGAGCTTCCTGGTGCTGGCATGTGCCACCCTTGTGTCCCTGTGCCTCCACCTCCAAATCCCCTTGCCAGCCTCCCCGGCCCAGGGACCACCCCACCGGAAAGGGGAGGAGGGATGTGTCGTTGTCCATCCCGTGTCACCTCCAGCCACCCGCATCACCTGACCCCCTCCCAGTGGGACCCCCATGGCATCCTGAGGGCACCCAGGTAGCACTCTGGGCAGCCGCAGGCTGTGTGCAGGGCAGCACCATTGCCCCAAGCCCACCAGCCCTACCAGCCCCACCCAGCACACCCCCTGCAGCCACCACATCGCCCCTGCTCCCACTGAGCCCCTTCCTGGGGGAAGTGTGTGTTGTCCAACCACAGGAGCTGGCTCCTCGGCGTGTCCCCCTGCCCCGCAGCATCACCCATGTCCCCCACGATGTGCAAGACCCTGTGTTGACATTGCCGGTGTGGTGCTTCCCTGCAGGTGCTGATCGAGGGGGTGGCCGGCGACGTGGGGACCGTGGCCATCGATGACCTGATCCTGTCTCCAGGCTGCGTGCAGGAGCAGGGTGAGCTGGACGGTGGCTGTCCCCCACCCCTGCTCCAGAGTGGGCAGCGCTCCTTGGGTGCCTTGTGCCTATGGCACCATCCCTAAAGGATCCACCGCAGGGTCTGCCTGGCCCTCTGCCCATCATGGTGACCAACCTGGGCACAGCATGGCAAGCACTTGCCCTGGGGCCCACAGCCCCAGTTGCTGAGTGTCCTGCAGCCATGATGCTCTATCCCCTGTGCCAAAACCTCCTGCCCAAGCTATCACACAGGCAGCTGCCACCAGCCTGCTGGGGTGATGCTGGTGCTGCTGCCTGGCCATCTCACCACCGCTCTCCATCCCGGGGTGTTTCACCATCAGAGAAGCCTTCGACCGCACTGCCAAGCCCGGTGGGTGCCAGACCCTGCGGTGCCGAGCAGGTGGCCTGCGACAGCAGGGAGTGCATCAGCGCGGGGCTGGTCTGCAACTTTGTCGAGAATTGTGACGATGGCTCGGACGAGAAGCGCTGCGGTGAGAGCCACGGGTGGGCAGCTGGGACTGGGGCCAGGTGACCCAGGCATCCCTTGGCTGGCATGGCCAGGGGACATGAGTGCCCGTGCAGCCCTCGGGAAGCGTGGTGGCCCGGCGGGGCTGAGCCTGGGCTTTTGCAGGAGCCACCACCCTCGAGGCAGGGGCTGGGGGCTGGCACGACGTCAGCGTGGGGCGGCTGCGCTGGGGCGTGCAGCGTGCCGCAGATCCTGCCGACACCTTCCTCACAGGTGAGGCTGTGCCTGCTGCCGAGATGATGCTTGGTGGTCCCCAGCACTGCAGGGGCCCCCAGGGCGCAGGGACCCCCTGCTCCTGCCCAGATGGGCTGGGTGGGTGCCACTGTGGGAAGACTGGAGGTGGATGCCTGGGCAGGGTGCTGGGCTGGGGGTGCTGCCAGGGATGAGAGGCTCCTGCCTGGACTTCTCAGGGTGTTTCCTTGCCCAGGAGCTTTCCTGGCCCTCCAGGCAGGAGAAGGACAAATGGTGGCCACTGCGAAAGCACGCACGCCTCTGCTGGGCCCCTCCGGCCCCACCTGTGCCATGGAGATGAGCTACCACATCCACAGCGGCCCTCAAGGTAGCCCCGGCCCCCAGTGCCCTGCCCGCTCCCTGCCCCACCGTGCCACAGAGCCTCCAGCCCCTGCCCGCCTTTGCAGCCTCTCAGCCCTGCTCTGCCCCATCTCACCATCCTGCAGCCAGGGTGTCCCTGTCCCCTGTGGCCGTGGGCTGGATGGGTGCTGGGGGCCTGCTGGTCCCTGCAGCCTCCTCACTGCCTCTTGTGCCCAGGCTTCCTTGCCGTCAGCATCGTGAATCACACCACCGGCACCACCCACCTGGCCTGGCACATGCCAGGGCACGGCAGCGCAGCCAGAGGACGCGTCCACATCCCACTGGGGGAGAGGAGATGGCGCTTCCAGGTGCACACAGGGGCACAGGGACCAGCCTGGGTGGCTGCTGGGGTGGCAGTGCTGGTGCCGCCAGGCACCCTGGGACTCACCACCGCCATGCCACCCCCAGGTTGAGCTGCTGGGTCTGGTGGATCTGCAGGACTTGGAGACCGCCGCTGTTGACAACGTGACATTCGTGCAGTGCCACCCCAATATGGTGCCACCAGGGGCTGCGGGTATGGCCAGGGGCGTGCGGGCAGGGAGGGGACCCCAGTCCCCCACCTGCAGAGTTGGACGCTGCTCCCATGGGGGCTGCCTGCTGACTGTCACCCTGTCCCCAGCCCAGGGACAGGACCACAGTGCAGAAGCCTCGGGGCTGGGGCCGAGCACACATCCTGCCCCAGAGTACCTGCGTGGGGTCAGCTCAGGGAGTGGGGTGGGCGTCCAGAGGGAAAGGGACATTTTGGGGACCTGTTTGCTTTTGGGGTGCCTGATCCCCACTCCCTCACCACGGTTGCGTCTCTCCGGCCAGAGCTGTCCTGCAACTTCGAGAGGGATATGTGCAGCTGGTACCAGGATCAGTCCAGCGACTTCAGATGGGTCCGCGGCACGGGGCAAGGGCAGGGCTCCGACCACACCACTGGCTCAGGTAAAGGGCTGGCTCCCCTCCCAGGGACCCTGGGCAGCCCAGGGGACCCTGCAGCCTCCTGTCCCCATGGCTGGAATGTGCCCTGAGCACTCCAGGCAGCCCCATGCCTGCGGGGCGAGCTCAGCCAGGGCAGCCCAGGCGCACCTGGATCCAGGACTGGGGTGTGGGTGTTGCGGGCGCAGCTGGGAGCACCCGTGCCCACGTCCCCTCCACCCTGGCTGTCCTTGACACTCAGGCTACTTCTTGGCTGTGGACCCCTCTGCGCCATGGAGCCGTGGGCAGCGGGCACAGCTCATCACCTACCGCCAGGAGCCCACCACCGCCCCACGCTGCCTCTCCTTCTGGTACCGCCTGGCTGGCCCGCAGATCGGTATGCAGCCCCATGGCATCCTGCCGGGGGTGCCCCAGCCGGGCTCCACTCCCCTGGGGACAGCTGGGTCCCCGAGGGGTGCAGGACGGTGGCCTGACACTCCCCTCTGCCCAGGCACCCTGAACCTCAAGCTGCGGCTGGAGGGAGAGGAGATGGTGCTGTGGACCCGACGGGGGACCCAAGGCAGCATCTGGCACCGGGGACAGGCGACGCTGCCTGCCACAGGCCAGCGGCAGTACTGGGTGAGGGCCGGGTGTGCCCCGTGGCACCAGGCGCCAGCAGGGCGCGGGGCCATCTGACGCTGCCGCCTTGGTGCAGGTGGCCTTTGAGGCCCTGCGGGATGGGTTCCTGCGACCACACCACTGGCACTGCCACAGGTACTGGGACCAGGGCTTCCCGGGGCTCTGGTGGAGCCCTGCTGCCTGCCCTGCCTGCCCTCCCTGCCTGCACTGAGCACCTTGCCTGACGTGCCCTCCCTGCCTGCAGTGAGTGCCCTGCCTGCCCTCCCTGCCCAAGATGTGCAGAGGGCACTAGTCTATGGGGCTCCCCAACCCTGGGGCTCCCCAAACCCAGAGTTTCCCAGCCCCAGGGCTCCCCAACCTGGGGGGTCCCCAGCCGCAGCAGTCCCCCGGTGCTACCCCCAGCAGGGCCGAGTGGGGTCACAGCACAGGGGCTTCTCTTCCCCCAGGCCATTACATGGTGGTGAGCACGGGCAGGGGCTCCCTGCCTGCGGGGCGGGCAGCTGCCCTCACCTCCCAGCCCTACCTGCCCTCCGCACCTGCCCAGTGCCTGGCCTTCTGGTACCAGCTGAGCACCAGGACCCCAGGTGAGCACCGCAATGCCCCGCAAGGCCCTGGGGGCACCTCCAGATAGGTGGGGGTCCCACATGGCACAGCCTTGGACCCTCCCCTCCATGGCGGGTGCCCTGGGCAGGCTCCCTCGGCGTCTTTGTGGAGCAGAGCGGGGTGCGGAGGAAGGTGATGAGCGTAAGCGCCATGGAGGGGGACGCCTGGCACCGCAGCCACATCACTGTCTGGGCGGAGGGGGCCTGGCAGGTGAGATGGAGCAGGGTGCTAGGGCCCTCACAGTGGGGAGTGGGACAGGCTGGGGGTGCCAAGGGGTGTGTGGCAGCTGCCAGCCTCAGCGTGCCACCCTGCCCCCCCCCCCCCCGGCAGGCAATATTTGAGGCAGTGGGAGCTGGGGGCGACCAAGGGTACATCGCGCTGGACGACCTGCACGTGTCGGACGGAGCCTGCCCCGAGCCAGGTGAGAGCCCACACTGTGAGGGCACCACGGACTGGCTGGGGGAGATGGGGACCCCATGGGGGCACGTGGCTGTGGGGATAGGGACAGCCCATCCCATCCATCACAGCTCTGCCCTGCTCCTGCCCTGACCTTGGCCTGGCCCAAATCCAAGAGCAGTGGGGAGGGCGCTGGGGGACACCCTCCCCCCCCCAAATGCTCTGTCTCCCACCAGGCAGCACAGGGCAGCGGGTGCTTCCAGTGGGTGCCTGCAGCACTGGGTGCATCACAGCCCCCCCCTTTCCTCCCAGCATCCTGTGACTTCGAGCGGGACATGTGCGGCTGGAGCAGCCCCTCGGACCCCCACAGAGCAGGATCACACCCTGGGCACAAGGAATGGTAGGAGACACCCATCCCTCCAGGGCACCCTGGCATAGCCTGAGGGAGGAAGAGGAGCTGGGAACGGATGGGGTCACCCATGAATATTCCCCCTGCCAGGCTGAGAGAGTTGGGCTTGTTCAGTCTGGAGAAAAGGAGGCTACGGGGAGACCTGATTGCGGCCTTCCAGTACCTAAAGGGGGCCTATAGGAAAGATGGGGAACGTCTTTTTAGTAGGGCCAGCTGTGTTAGGACAAGGGGAAATGGTTTTAAACTAGAACAGGGTAGGTTCAGGCTAGAGGTAAGGAAGAAATTTTTTACAATGAGGGTGGTAAAACACTGGAACAGGTTGCCCAGAGAGGTAGTGGAGGCCCCATCCCTGGGAACATTCAAGGCCAGGTTGGATGGGGCTCTGAGCAACCTGATCTAGTTAGCAGTGTCCCTGCTCACTGCAGGGGGGTTGGACTAGATGACCACTAGTGGTCCCTTCCAACCCTAAACATTCTATGATTCTATGATCCCAGGGGGTCTGGCTCCACAACATCACCATCCACTACTTAATCCAAGAGGGACAGCTCGGTCCCAAGGGCAGTGAGGAGCAGGGCTGGGAGGTGCAATCCTCCAGGCATCGCTCTGGGCACTTTGCAGGGGAGCAGAACACATGGGGTGGGCTGCCGGACAGGGGGACACCCTGTGCTCTGTCCCTGCCCGTCCAGGTCGCTATGTGCACTTCGACACCAGCATGCTGGGCCTGGGGGGCACCACTGCCCGGCTGGAGAGCCAGCACCTGCCTGCTGCTGCCGACTCCTGCCTGCAGTTCTGGTACCACATGGACATCCCAGAACACCTCTGTAAGCACTGCAGGGGCAGGGAGGAGGTGCTGTCCCTGGGGAGGGCGTCATGAGCCCATGATGGGAGCTGGGGGGCTCCGGGCAGCCCCTGCTGCTGGGGTGCCTGCCCCCCATGTGTTGCAGCCAGTGGGGAGCTGCGGGTGATGCTGCAGAGTGCATCAGGGCAGCGCATGGTGTGGAGCATGGCGGGGCACCGAAGCCGGGGCTGGAGGGGTGGCATGGTGCCTGTGCAGAGCTCCAGCGAGTTCCAGGTGAGTGGGGTGGCCCTGGGGAGTGGGGTGGCCTCCCCACACATCTCACCCCCCATCTCCCATCTTCCCCTGCAGATCATCTTTGAGGTTACCACGCAGTGGTGGCCAATGGAGGGGACGGTGGCACTGGATGACATAGTGTACAGCGCCAGGGAGGGCTGCCATTCCAGCCTGGAGGTGCCAGTGGAAGGTGCGGGGCCAGTTCTGGTCAAACCCAGCACTGCTTGGGGTGCTGGGGCTGGGGCTGGAGCCAGCTCTTCTGGGCGGTGGGTCAAGCCTGGCATCATCTCCTCTCCCTGCAGAGAAATCCTCTGGCCGCTTTGTGGCAGAGATAGTGCTCAGTCTTCTCCTGGCCCTCATCGTCCTGGCGCTGGTGGCTGCTGGGGGCTGCTACTGGCTGAAGCAGCGAGGGCGGGTGAGCAGGACAGCGGCAGAGAGCAGGACTCCCCAGGGCTTCGACAACATCACTTTTCGAGACGTAAGGACAGGGACGAAGGGCTCTCCTGCTTGCCCCCAACCGCACCAGAACAGCATTTTCCTAAAAGCTCAGCAGATCCCAGCAGGCTCCCCCTGAGCCCGCGCTCTGCCAACACATCAAGGGAGGTGCAAAGGGCTCTGCCTCTTATCTGGCTGCTGGTGAAGGAGCAACCCTGCGCTGCAGGACTGACCTAGAAATGCTGCTGCTGCCATCAGGCAGCTGCTCCAGAAAGAGCTGAGGCTGCGATCCTCCTCCCCAGAGCCCTGCAAGGAGCGGGTCATGCAAACATTGCTCATCCTCTTCAAGCCAGCAATTTAAAACCCTGAGAGGCAGCTTAAGCTACAGCTTCCTCTGACGGGTTTGGTGCCACGTAGTCCCCAGGAGAGCCACCACCACAGAAGAGGGCGCAGAACCCCCTCAGGGCATGCTGGGGGGTTTGGTTCCTCTGCTGGGGTCACGGTGGGCCAGCACGCAGATTCTCCCCTCTGCAGCCTGGAAGAAGTCCTTGTATTTCAAATTAGACACAGCCGACACTTACCGTAACCAAGTCCCCTTCACCCTTCTTTACAGGACAAAGTCATTATATCACCAGTGCCAGCAGAGGGGGATGAGGCTTGAAACAATAACCCAGCAGCAGCAATTGCCTACGCGCGCCTGTGAGGCGTACACAGTGCAGAGCATCCCTCCCACAAGACCTCACACTCCAGCAGCTGCCTGCAGCTCTTGGCATCGGACATCAGGCAGCGAGGAGCTGCCGCGGGCGCTCACCCTGGGTGCTGGCCCCACAGAGGGACGCACTGCTGCCTCCACTACCTCCAAGCGTTCGGGAAAAGCGTTGTTGTCTTTTGTAACACGAACTTTCTGTGCCAAGATGTAGCAATGTGCCCGTGCCTGGACAGGCGCCGTCGGCAGGCGTTTCTTGCAGCTACCGTCCTCATCCGAGCAGCGCCCTGGCTGTGGAAGGGGGCGCACGGAGCCACCATGGGGAAGAAGCCCAGTGCTTCTGCTGGTTTTGGAGGAGGAGTTTGGGGAGGGTGGCGAGGTGGCTGGGAGGGGACACCAGGCAGCACACCTGGGACACAGAGCAGCCCTGACCCCGCTGTATGGGTGCCCACCTACCCCAGGACTGCCCCATACCTTTCAAGGGTTCTTAATAATTTGCATTTAAATGTCATTGGGAAAAGAAAAATGTTCCGGAGGCACAGGCTGGGCTCAGGGCCATGGCACCCACACCTGCACACCAAGCTTCTCCTCCCCACTCCCTAGCCTGCAAAACCTAATACCGTACAACCCCTCAGCAGCCCCTGGCCAAAGCAGCCACCCACGTACAGTGGCAGAGGGACTGGTTCTGCCTCCACGTGGCTGAGCCACCCATTAGGGATCCTGCTCTCCTCAACCCCCTGGCTTGCCTGGAAGCAATTGGGGCACCCTGCTTTCCCAAACCCTGTTCTTCCTCTCGCCCAGCTGCAGCCAACTCTCCCTGCAGCTCTGTCCCACCTTCGTTATGCCACAGTCCCATCAAGTACCACCCCTACAGCTCCACAGCTGCACTGTCCCGGCAGTGCCCTGAAGGAACGAGACTCAGCAAAGCTGTGCTCCTGCGAGCCAGGAAACGGCAGAGGCGAGCGATGAGGAGGGCTCTGGCTCCACAGAAATGCCTGACCAAGCATCTCCCCACCCGCCTTGCTCTGCAGAACTCCACAGAGACTCCGCTCACCTCCGCACAAGATAAAACCACAGAACTGATTTCATCTCTGGGCTGCACGCCAAAGCTGCAGTGCTCGCTTGACAGGGAAAGGAGCAGAGCAGCCAGGAAGGCAGCGACAGCACCGGCTCTTGCCCCAGCCGCTCCAGGCAGTCCCACTAATTATGCTCTCAGAAGGAAGAGGGTGCTGCAGCTCCAGCCATGCCCAATCACAAAACCTTACCTGGTAATCATGCAGCAAGGACCCTGTGCAAGTGAAGGGTATCAAACTTTATTATAGATCTCTTTAAAACAGGCTGGAAGGAACAAACAAAAATGTCATTGTGATGCAGTGACTGAGTCATCATTTCAAACACAGACACCGATCAACCCCCAACTCTCCCAAATTATTTATATATAATATATCCCACCCGTCCCCGAAATTGTTCCAATTAACTGGTCATATCTCAGACCCCCCCAAGCGTCTCAACGATAGCTGCTTCTAAACACCAAGACGCACACGTTTTCTGGCAAATCAGATGCAGGGTTTTTTTTTTGGATTTAGTTCCTCAATCTCTGGAAAGGAGGAAGGAAAAACAAAATCAGGAAAATCGCTTCTTTAAGGTTGCCTGTTTACAGCAGGTACAGATTCGGCAGATTTCCCCCCCAAAGCAAGCCTGAAACCCTCTTGTTCAGCTTGGCAATACGAAGAGAGATCCTGGTGGTTAAGGAGAACCAGCCAGACGAGATCAGTCTGGGCAAACTGATTTCGAGGCTTTGTTGTCATTTCCCTTTGGGGCCGGTTTCCAGCGGTTTTCCAATATCCTTCCCACGCAGTTTAAGGCCTGGAACAAGACAAAGGAGACGACCGCCATCAGATGCCATCAGCACTCGATCATCTACCCGATAACTTTATTTCCTCAAATTTTTGCTGTAAGAAAACATCCTAAAACGAGGGCAGGGGGACCAGGATCAGGGAGAAGACTACTTTAGTTTCCAGGAGCACAAGACCAGTTTCAGGTTCTTCTTTGTGCACTCTCCTCCTAGAAAACGGTGTCTGAACCCGCCCGGGCAAGCAACACCAGCACCAGCAGCTGCGAGGGGCTTTCCCGGGTATAATTGGGCCTTCACGGGGCTCCGTATGTCACTGATTTGGGGGGGGACAGCATTCAGGAGTGGAACCCAGGGCACGGCCCCATGCATGAAGGTGACAAAGAACAAGAGTTTTGACTGCGGGTTCCAGTGGGCAGATCCAAGTTTTATCAGAACACGGCTTAATGACACCACACCCACAATAACCTGCAGCCAGCAACTGTTCCCAACGTGGAAAAGGCAAGCGGCTTCAGCCAAAACGTCCCTCCTAAGCCCTGCAAACACTCTCGTTATCTTTGAGGTCCACTTTCTTAACTTACCGATGGCTCTTTCGATCTTGCCCATAACCTGGTTATTGGGGATTGCTCTTCCCGATTCATAGTCAGCAATAACTTGTGGTTTTTCATTGATTTTCTAAAAAGAGAGGAGGCGTCTTAAACCCTGGCTCCACACACAGCAAGCACTCAGCACCAGCCCCCAGTACTCACAGATAACACAGTGACAGCCTCTGGTCATGCCAGGATCAGAAGACAAAGCACTACGTCCAGGCTTACTCTTACACTACTGCCTCCCTCCACTACTGGAGTGTCACAGTAGTGGTGACACCCACCCTGGGCAGACTTTTCCTTCTCTCGGCCTCCCAGGAGCAGTAACACTACGCACTGCTCTTCCTTAAGGCAGCAGCGAGCTTCTGAAGACTGTGTCAGGCCCAGGCGGTACAAAAAGCCCTTGCATCGGTGCCAAGTTGATGGGAGGAGAGGGGGTAAAAAAAAAAAGCCTCCTAACAGCTCAGCAGCCACAGCAACGCTCCATCTCCAAGCAGGTGTTCGAGGGCTGCAGAGGAACTCCTAAAACATTTCCTACACAACTGATGTTGCCTGGAGATCAGATATCGGAGGTGTTGCCTTCACCAAACTTCCTGCTCATGATCCCATCCCAGCACAGCTGCTCACGAGGGGACAGGGAAAGCGTCCACCTTCACCCCGAGGTGCCTAAACCTGCCCTGGGAGAGTGGGAGCAGAGGCCACCAGGCCCTGGGCCGTACTCACCGTGGCCAAGTCCTTCTGCGTCATGCCCTTGCTCTGCCGGCCCTGCTGGATCACTTTGCCCACCTCCAGGGGAACTCTGTCATGGTGCAGCTCTTCTGTTTCTCGGTCAAGCTTGGCCGTGTTCTTTGTAATAAAGTGTTGTTTGTTTTGGCCTGCCGCCCCTATCATTCAAAGCAAGAAACAAACAAAAAAAACCCAAGGACAAACAAAACAAGGCTCAGAGCTGTGCCAAAAGCATCAAAGCACTTTTTCTAAGTGCTCAGTTGCCTAGGATCCCAGAGAGCTTTCATGACTTCAACATGCCAACATCAGCACTGACCTCAACCAGATCCTGCCCGCTGAGGCCAGAGAAGGTGCTACCTTAATCCTGTTAACGCTGACGTCTAAACACGGCCATGCAGAACCCTCCCCTTTCCTAACTCCACATCTGAACTTCGCTCCACATAGGCAAGGTTTTGCTATTGCTCAGGGATTTAACATTCAAAGTTCACTCTGGACACACACGTTTGCACTGCAGCGTTTGCGGGGGTAACATTTGAATGTGTACCTGCTTTGCTCACATGTAAGGCAGCATGAATAAGTGGGTTTTAATCAATTTTCTGATGCCTTTTATAAGTAAACTCTAACTCTATGCAGCTTTGCTGAAAGCCTGAGGGCCAAAACCATGCTATTTGTTTTGTCTCATGGTATTTAAGTCACGGTTTGAATCCTTTCTCTTACGTTAGTCTCTCTGACAGGCAGTCTCTTGATAAAGCTGACTAACCTTCCTTCCAGGATCCTCTATTTATTTATTTCCAACCATCATTATCTCACCCCGACAGTGAGAGAACCCCAAAATTTACATCGGCCGGGAGACGGGGAGTTTTTAAAGAGCAGCCCTGCAGGGAGATAAGCAGCCACCGAACTCTTTACGTGACCAACAAGAACCAATAAGCTGCAAAACCGGGGAGGTTCATGCTCTGTGATCCTGAGGGCTCTTCCAAGGGCTCGGCAGCCTCACGAACAACAAGGTGCTCACTGACGTTTTTATTTAGACTCGCTCCGACCCCCGAGGCCGGCCCGAGCTCCGCTCTGGGCAACCC